GTAAAGGAACAAAATCCGATATTTCCATCACATATTTCACACATTGGATTGTTATGACAATTTACAATTTGGTGAGACAGGCCCTCAGTATAATGAATAACTTTGTTTATATGTTATTTTATCAAGCAATCCGCATTAATCAGATAATTTGTATCCGACAGAATGGACTTTAGATCTGCAAAGAGAAAAATATCCTTAAAAACCTCAGCAGTCTACATCATTATCGTGTATATATTTTGCATTCAATACCGCTTTACACTAGAACTTACTTAAATAGCTACCAAATAGTTTTTTTTTTACTTTTTAAGTTACATGTACAATAAGTATTTAAGATGCCGTGTTTACAATATGACGGGGTCGAGCGACGTGAGATCGTCGACAAGCGAAGATAGCTGCCTTTTGTTCAAGCAAAACTAAACTAGAACAATTCATCCTTAAACATCCAACAAACGAAATTAAAAATAAAATTACTCGAATAAACCCATTTAGTGACAGTGTTGCCAGTTGTAAAAAATAAATTACATTGAACTTTGGCATCTTTAATTTTGCCCTCGAAAGAGGTTAAGTTTAAAAAATCAATAAAATCTGTTTAATCTCTAAGATTAATAAATCTAAATTAAAAATGAATATCGAGAATAAAAAATCGAGACATGTTTGTAAAGGGCGACATCTATTGGCACCACATAATAAATACATACGTTATTCCGCTTATATTCAAAAAGTAAACTTAACATATAACATAAAAAAATATTTCAAGTCATATATATTAAAAAAAATAACATGTTGTATAACCTAAAATGGCGATTGCACAATTCATAGAGATTTTCTAGCTTGCTCGACATTCAAAGATCATCTTATGGTAACATTATCTGTATGGTGTTTCCGTCGGCAACACTAAATTATGGCACAAAACTAAAACAATCTTACATTATTATATTAAGGACCATACACGGTTCATGCATAGATATATAACCTATAGACGGAGTAACAATTTTAACATCAAATCGAGAATTGATTCGAAATGTCAATAGACAACATAGAGACGAATTTTCCAAAGCCTCCGTAGGTTTTTTGCTTTAATTCTTGCTCCGCATTAAATTTCTATAGATTATGTATCTATGATACAATTTCAACTAATAAAAGTTGTAAAACCGAAATAAAAAAAACTACGTGTGTTTTTGGTTAAACGCGGAAAGTTCCACAAATGTCAACAATGGTATTTGAATAATAAAGTGTAAATAAGCGTAATATTACGTTCCATTTAAAAAATCATCAAAAACAAATCGCCTGCTCATATATTTATTAAAACCAACAAGAAAATCAAAATATTTTTATCAGTGTTATACAAAGCAATAACATTTATGACATTTGTCAAAAAACAAAGCCCCCAGTGCATGAATTTTTATTACAGTTGCAATTTTTTTCAATGAAAAAAAAAACGAGTAGTCAAAACATTACTTCCGTCGGTAAAACAGTTTAGTGAGGTTTTAAGACGGTACGTCGGTACAGCAGCATTAAACTGTTTTACCGACATATCTCAAGTTTAGCAATGGCGCTGTAAACATAAAGACGACACAAAAAAATCCAAAACTAAATAACACAAATAGATCTCTCGTTTTAAGCAAAACTATGCAATCGTAAGTACATAAACCTTTCTTAAATTAAAAATTATGTTAGAATGGTTATTGACATTTACACTTAGAATTAAAATAAAAAACTATCAATCGAAATAAAAATTAATGAAAATATATTCTTTTTTTAATCAAATACTGCTAAAATGCCATCTACGACCCGCATCGGATACGGGTAAACGAATCTTTGGACCTTATATTAACTCTAAAAGCTCTGTACTACACTACCGTAGATATATAATCTATAGATGGAGTGTGTCATAATTTTGACATCTATTCGAAAGTCTCACGAAACGTTTTATATTAAGACAAGAATGAGGTCATTTATCCCAAAAAGGCCTCTGTTTTTTGTCCTAATTATGCGCACTGGATGATATATCTATAGATTATATATCTACATATATTAAAGTAAATTTTAACTAACCAGCAAAGCTTAGAGTTTAAAGTTTGCGCTACATTGCGGCTAAAAAAACTCTAAAGTGTTAAAAAAACTACATTTGGAAGACAATCCATAGAAACTAAAACTTACAACTTAAAAACTATTAATTAACAAAAAAAAGTAAAACAATAGGAAACATTTTAATCACATTAAATAGCGTAATTCTCGAGAAAAATGTATGTAAATAAATCTATAAAGAATTTTTTTATCAGAGATATGCAAGAAATTTACATTCATATGTAAAAGCTACAAGATTTGTGCGAAAATTTACTTCTTATAGTAAAATTATAAATGTCTTGAGCTTATAAAATTGCATTTAATTATACAAGTAAAATTATCGAAATATTAAGACGAAGCAAAATTGTGCAATATCAGAAGATAATCAAAATATAGTATATAACCTCTAAAAAGCCTCAAAACCTTCAGACCAATGGTCCTTAATATAAACAATGGTTTAAGAATACCTTAACGGCTTTTATTTTCAATAGACTTGTTTTTTTTTTAAAATATCAAATCATTAGACAAATAATTTTCGAAATGTAATGTCCAGATCTTTATTGAATTATCTAAGAAATAAAAGATGAATTTAGAATTTCTTTTTGTCCAATGCCAAAAGAACACTGAACAGTTTTACTGACGGTTATTCCAAAATAAAACATAACATTAAAAAATAAAGAAATGTTTAGGTTCTATAGCGATTATCCGATCTTCACGTCGTGTTCGAAATTTGAAAAGTCGCATAACGCGAATTCATATCCATAGACAATAGTTGACAGACGCGGCAATAAAACTACGAATTGTGAAAAATCCATTGAAAATTAATGGATAGTGAAATATTTGACTTGCACGTAAAGAACAGACATTTTTTTATTAAATCGAACGACATTTTACGAAATCCATAAATAATAAACATTTTAAAACCATGTCTGTGTCTATGGTTGCGAGGGGCCGTTCGGAAACACCATGCGAACGACACAAGAGTGTCATAGAGCGAGCGCGAGATTGCGTATATCGACTAAATTATCTGTGAATGGCGCCACTGTCATTAGTTCTTTCGACATTTGCATACATTTTCTTTAATTCTTAATCCCGCCACCACAGATAAGATGTCGCTAGTGTATAACACCGTGTATGTAGCGGCGTATACTATATAGAGTGTAAATATTGCTGTGCCGTGTCGGTACATTGGTGTCGTCAGGTGGAGAGGTCGGGCCGAGCATCGCCGGCTGATGCCTTTATGCTCTTCACGTTCTCTGGAATAATACAAAACATTCGATTATTTTTACATTTTAATTTTACTGAATTGGATCTATATCAAGGAGACCTCAAGGTAAGGGAAATAGTTTTTTTCCGTATGTACCAATACGTATACATGCAACATTTTTCAACAAACTGGTGTCAAACCTATGCGGGTATACCGTCACCAATTAACCAGATTGTCAATTCTTATAATAGTAATTTTAATAATATAGATATAATACATATTAGTAAGAATAACCTTTCGATAATATAACTGTAATTTTGAATTATTTATAATACAAGCTTTTACCCGCGACTCCGTCCGCGTTGGATTAAAAAAAAAACAAAAGTGCGTAGCCTATGTGTTCTACCAGAAATCCGTTCAGCAGTTTAGGCTACAAACTATAACAAACATCCATCTGGATCATTTTATAAAAACATCATCAGGCCTGTTTTTATAGTAATAAAGTATACTTAAAAAAAGTTTGGTACAATTTGGCGTCATATGCATATTGCCTATTAAAAAAAAATCCATTACCGTGGTGCGAGACGCGTGCGGAGTATCGCGGGCGCGGTTAGAGCAGCTCGTACTGGCGCAGGTGCATGCGCTGGATGATGTCGCGGCAGTCGTTGAAGACGCGCTTTATGTTCTCAGTGTCGACGGCGCACGTGAAGTGCGGGTAGCAGTAGTGCTTGCCCTCGCCGCTCGCCGTGCTGATGCGCTGAAGGCATAAATACACATTTATTAATAAGGCTATATTACCTTATATACATATAGAAAATGGAAGGGAAGTTGTATCTTTGGAACGTACTTTAATCAAGATGTACGCGAAATGGCTTAACCATAGTTAGTAGAAAACCCTGTATAATAAATGTTTCGTGATGAATGCAATACATTATTCAATTATTTATGTATAGTATGAGTTAATTTTAGTCGTAAAACTAGGGCGTCACTAGGGTGCGCAGTTACCCCCACCCTTCTTATATAGAATACAAAAAATGTCACTAGGACCAGTACTTACTATATTAATAATTTTACATTAACAGTACTCAAACTTTAAATTATTATACGTTACTGAACACATTTTATTCTAATTACAGACAAATTTTAATTACTAAAGAAATCATAACTAATACAAAACATGTTTCGCAACAAGTTGCAGTTGAAACTCGCAATAATCTACTAATACTAATAAATAGGAAAAATGTGTATTTTTATATGTATTAACATCTTAATAATATTATAAATGTGAAATTTTAGATGGATGGATGTTAGAGTTTGTAGTCTAAACGGTTGATCGGATTTCGATAAAATTTGGCATAGACGTAGAGGATAGCCTGGAAGAACACAAAGGCTACTTGCATTTTTTGAATCCGCACGGACGGATTCACGGGAGAAAGCTAGTAGATAACCTACATTTTTTTTATAGCACGAGAACGAAGTTACATCTAGTTTATAAAGAGCCAAGGTACTAGGGTGTGAGAACTCACAAGGAACTCATCGCGTATGAAGTACTTGGCGCGCGCGACCTCCGGGTGGTCGCGGGCGTCGGGCGCGGCGTCCGGCGGCGTCTGGTAGCGCGTGAACTCCGCGAAGTAGTCCTCCAGCCGCGACTTGCCCGCCAGCACCTTCTCCGCCAGCAGGTCCTGCTTGTTCAGGAACAGGATCACTGATATCGTGCGCAGCCATCTGAAACACAACGTGACATATTATAGAAACTATCTATACCACTCTAAACACATTTAATACAGCCAGTTATCTTACTAATATTGCAAATGCGAAAGTTTAAATAAATGGATGTTTGTTACTACATATTTTAAGAACAGTACAACGGATTATGTTGAAATTGGGCACAGCTGTAGAACATAGTCTGCTAGTACATATATACTAATATAATAAAGCGTAAACAGACATCCATTAGTTATACTGTCAGTAATGACAGTACATTTTTGTATAATTCCTTTTTTAATAAAAAGCCGTACACTTATGACACGCTTTAGACTATATTTTTAAGCTATCAAATAAGGGAGTAAATAATTTGAAAAATAAAACGCTCATGCGGGAAAAGGACCAAATTACAAGCTGACAACATCAAGAAAGAAAGGTTGCCATGGTAATGGTAATTATTATCCAATGTCAAAGGCTTTCGTTATCATTTGCGCATTAAATTTGTGATATTTGCAATTGGAAATTGTAAACAAATGTAAAAAACAAAATAAAGTTTTTATAACGTCATGCGGATGAAGCCGTACGGGAACATTTCGTAATAAAAGCGACAATACCAAGCCCGTAGTACCTGTTATTCCATATGCTTTTGAAGAGATCGAGCGACTCCCGCAGACGGTTCTGCGTGGGGTCCTCGCGCAGCACCATGTTGTAGGAGGAGCACGCCGTCACGAAGATGATCGCGGTCACGTCGTTGAAGCACTGGATCCACTTGCGCCGCTCGTCCCGCTGCCCGCCCACGTCGAACATACTGAAATACAACGTTCATATATATACTAGATTTCATATGCGATTGAGTCCGCGTGGAATTAAAAAAAGCAGGTAGCTTATGTGTTCTTCCAGACTATCCGTTACATCTATGCCAAATTTCATAGAGATCCATTCAGCCGTTTAGGGTACAAACTCAAACAAATATCCATGCATCTAAACTTTCGCATTTATAATATTAGTAAAATGCATACATGTGGCGGAAATGCGAATGTTAAGATGGATGTGTGGGGTAATACGATTGGATAAGATACGAAATGAGTATATTAGAGGATGTTTTAGAGTAGCTCCAGTGGTTGAGAAAATAAGGAGGAAAAGGTCAGAGTGGTATGGGCATGTTATGAGACGGGATGAATCGCATGTAACAAGACGGACGTTAGTTCTGAGTGTGGAAGGGTACACCGGTAGAGGTAGATCTAGAAAGAGATGAATGGATTGCGTGAAAGGTGACATGATAAAGTAGGGAATGATGACTGAGATGACGAATGATAAAGTGCTTTGGAGGACGAAAACCCGGTGCGCTGACCGTACGGGAGTAGGATAAGGCAAGGGAGATGAGTAAAATTATATGCAATACTAACTGGAAGTTGACTTTATCGACGACGAACTGCGTTTCGAATATCCCCGAGGTGAGGACGCGGCAGCGCAGGATGTCCTGCTCCGTCGGCGTGTACTCCGCCTGCTTTATTATGTGCACCTGGTCCAGGAAACTGTAACAACATATACATTTTAACGGAGAGTCCGCTTTAACATCGCATAAACACATATTTTTTATACATTCGCATAACGCAATATAAATAGAGAAGAAAATATATTTTCACTATAGGAGCAGCTCGCCCCACGCAATACCACAACCAGACAAAAAAAGGGTGAAGTGGAAACAATTCCG